TTTTCCCCTACCTTAACTCTCCTGCTTCCCCTCTCTTTGAAAGTAGCTCTCACCAGGATGCCCACTTTCTCATCCTTGCTTTCTTCTGTCTACCTTCCTGGGGATCTCATCCAGTCTCAAAAGCTTTAGACATGGCTGTTAGACTCTGAAAAGCAGTCCTAGCCCTTCCTGAGGTTTTGGATTCAGTTAGCTAACTGTCTCATTGTTCTTTTAGTTTGGTTGTCTGAAAATTATGTGAAATGTCAAAATGTCCCAGATGGCCACACACACACCGCACACACATGCACCATGCTCACGCACCCCTGACTTCCTTTCATCTTCCACCTCTAAATCTGTCACACCACCTTGTACCATTTCATGACATCATTCTCCCCAGGAAGCCCAGTCTCCCTGCCTGCCACATATTACAGCTGTCCGAAAGTCTTGCCTGTCCTGCTGAACGCTCTCCACTAGTTTTCCATGACACTGGAAATAAAAATCCAACCTCTAATGCACCCCCCAACCCCCATCCCCACTGCCACCAAAGCCATGATGGTTGTTGACACTCAAGCCAACCTCCACCTCTCAGCTCACCCCCACCTAGCCCCAAAGCATTCTAAGCTCCGTGACTCTGCACCGTTTCCCTTTGCGTGGCGTGCTCTCCTCCCAAACTGATGCACTGCTCCTGCTCGCAACTTGGGTCTGGCTCCTCGGGTCTGGTCTCTTCAGAAATCCTTTGGGCATATTTTTAAGGCTTTATGTGGATGAATGTTTTGTGTTCACATATGTGTATACACCGCGTGCATGTCTGCTGGTGCTGCAGCCAGAAGATGGTGTTGGACCACCTAGAACTGGAGCTGCAGAGACCTATAAGCCACCACGTGAATTTAATGAAGAGCTTCTGAAGGAAGAGCAAGTGCTCCTAACCACTGGGCCCCCGGTCCAGACCCTAACTCCTTTAGGTTGTCGTTTTTATTTTTAGGTTGTCGTTTTTATTTTCCTCCTTGTTGTCTTCTTCCCTTCAGCTAGATAAGCTCTTCAGGGCAAGGTCTCTGCTCTGTACATCAGTACAATCTGGGATCTCAAGAAACATTCAGGGTTTTTTTTTTGTTGTTGTTGTTGTTGTTGTTGTTTTATTGGCTGGTTCAATAAACAAATCGAGGGATCAGTGATGGTTCGTGCCTGTGTGCTCTCCTGTGGTGGCACTGGCAGGGCTCAGAGGGACAGCATTTGCAGAGTGTTTTCCCTTTTTTTCAGCTTGTTGGGGCAGAGTCTCCCTAATTGCTCTCCCACTGTGCTACACAGTCCAGACTAGCTGGCCTCCAGTTTGCAGGTTCTCCAACCTCCCTGTAGAACTGCTAGGATTACAGAAGCACCCAGCACACAGCTTTTTGTTTTGTTCTGTTCTGTTTTGTTTTAATATGGATTTAAGAGATTAAATTTGGCTGGAGAGATGGCTCAGCAGTTAAGAGCACTGTCTGCTCTTCCAGAGGTCCTGAGTTCAAGTCTCAGCAACCACGTGGTGGCTCACAACCATCTATGATGTGATCTGATGCCCTCTTCTGGCACGCAGGTGTACATGCAGATAGAGCACTCATATATATTAAGAGACAGAGAAAAGAGAGAGGGGGGAAGAGAGAGACCCATACTCATCATCAGGCTTGCAAAGCAAACAGTGACCTTGCATTTGCTATCTGGATGACCCTTAAGCAAGATATTTAACTTCAGGATTAAATTTCACAAAGGAGAAGGAAACATGGTCCGGAACTTCTGTAAATAGAGAAAATGGTAATTCTAAAAATAAGCGTAACAAACACTACTGACCTCTTTGCACTAGGCATAAAAAAAAAAAAAGTACAAAGTGAGATAATATGAGTACCTCTGCTTTACAAATAGGGAAACAGAAGGCCAGAGAGGTTTACTCACCCCTAGTCCTGGAAATAGCACATTGCAAAACCACAACCATGAAAACTGACTCAAAGTCCATGGTCTTAATTATTGTCCCATACACAGCACAAAAATGCTCAATAAATAACAACTATTATTACTAATTGGATTGCAGACTAGCGGTTGGCAAACATTTTCTGTACAAAGGCAGATGGTAAATATTTTAGGTTTTACAGCCCATATGGTCTCTGTTGTGGTGATCCCCAACCAAAAGATTATTTTCATTGCTACTTCATAACCGTAATTTTGTGATTATCATGACCGGTAATGTACATATCTCTGTCTTCTGATGGTCTTAGGTGACCCCTGTGAAATAGTTTGCCCCCCCCCATGGGTCACACTCCACAGGTTGAGAACCGCTGGTATAGCAGCTATTTCTGCCTTCCCTGCGTCTTTACTGCCCTCTTGTGATAATGGCTGCCTGGGGAATTTAAACAGAAACAGATAGCAGCTTTGCAGATAGTTCCTGATAGTCCCTTGCACAGCTTGTGATTCAAAAAGCCACACCCACAGATGTCCAGGGAAGCTGTGGTTTCGGTAACCCAGTTTAAAGCAAATACCAACGTCAGCAAAAACCTGGACTGGCAAAGCCATTGAATTCAAGATTAAATCATCAACTTAAATTCTTTAATACCAAAATCTTTGTAAGAAAAAAATGTCTTGTTTCGGACAAGACTCCAAGGGAGAGAGAGGGGCTGTTTTCAAATGTCCAACAGCTTGCCAAAAGTTTTATTTTTTTTTCAGACCCCAGTTACAGGAAATTCAATGTCCTCTTCTGACCTCTGCAAGCTCCAGACTCAGATGTGTCCCACATACATACATACGTACGTACGTACGTACGTGGAAACAAGCAAGCACTCACACATACTAAAAATAAATAAATCTTTAAAAATTACAATTGGCATATTAAATAGTACTATAATAGAATGATTTGATATAGTTTTAAACAGGAAACAAAGTGGAGAGGGAGATTTTCAGGTTTTAAACCCCTCCCCCAAAGCAAATTTTAATCACTCTTTTAAAGTGGGTTAGTATGACAAATCTATTCAGTGACTAATCATGTCTAAGTCCTGTTTCACTAGTGACCGATGACATTAAATATAAGATGGTATTTGATTCAAGAGTGAGATGGCAGCAGGGATATGGCTATGACAGCTGGCCTTCCTCATTACAGCGCTTCTAGCCTTGCTGTTCTTCTAAAGAGGATTTCAGTTTTTTAAGGTTTAGGGAAAGGAATCATTAACATATAAGGGAAAGGTTTCAACACCCTTCTAGCCACCACCTAAAGGAGGTGGAATAGACTTGGCACAAACGGGCACTAAATAGTAAAAGGGATTTTTTAATTGGCAGCTAGCTGTGATTTTTCAGGGCCTGTGCCTCTTATCTCCCTAGAATTTACCACCTTTCCTGCTATGCAGTCGGAAGAGGAACGCTAGCTATCCACTTTCTGGGCGTGGAGAATGGACTCCTTCCTCACCAGAGAGGCTACACAGCTTAGTCTGAGGCCGAAGGAGAAACTGTAATAATAATAGTGATAATAGTAATGATGATGGTGATGATTAGATGCTATCTAGAATACATATTCCAATAACTACAGAAGAGATTTATGGAAACGGTGTCAGAGTTCTCTATGGTGAATGGGAACAGAAGATGGATCACATGAGTCCAAAAGCTCTTCCAGGGAAAGCAAAGACCAGAGACCAGGTTTCCTTGGTAGTAGGAGACAAAGTCTACCTTCTGCGTCTACAAGATGAATAGTGGTTTCTCTTAAAAAAAAAAAAAAAAAAAAAAGTACACCTGCAACTATAGCTTGAGGCGTGTTGCCTACTGGTCAAATGACAGTTCCATGAGACATAGCCTCAGAAAACAACAGCAAAATGGTATTAGTGTATCAAGCACATTTCAAGCATGACCCAGGTACATGATGTCAAAGCTGGCCACGGGTACAGGCAGGACTCCAGGGGACTGGGTGTGGAATAAAACGAACACAGTGACTTTCACAGCTTACTCTGACTTTCTTCCCATGTCTGACAAAATCCAAACCGTAAAAGCTACCTCATTTTGTCGATTCCTTTCGGCTGTGACCTAGAGTCTTACCATGCCTTTGATATGACTCACCCCTTCAGTGTTTGACATTCGTTAGGCTTTCATTCTTTTCAACCCTTAAATATCTCTTCTTTGTCACACACTTTACTAAAATCAAGAAAGGCCAAAGTCACTTCTTTGAGGGTGCTTGCTAACTGCCCTTGAGCCAGTGTACCCTGGGCCACCCTCCTTCACCTTCTGTGAAAAGCCCTGAAACACAGGAAGGTTCAGCCACATTTCCCCTCCAGGGGAAGTGTGAGCCTGGGTAATGAGGCTAATGTTGACTCTCCCGGTCACACATCATAAAGAGGCAGCAGAAGGCAAGGTCGTGCTGACATAGTCAGAAGTCCCACCATTACGATCATTCTCCCAATGAAATATGAACAACTGCACCGCCATGTTGGGCTTTGAGAAGAGAGAAAACCTGTGTCACAATGTCGGCGTCAGTCATTCCCATCAGGAAGAAGAAAAATTCAACAGCAAAAGCAAACGATCATCCAGCTACATGTGTTTAAAGTGTTATGAAAAAACAGAAAGAAGGGAGCAGGAAGTGGGTGCTCCTTTGCTGCCTTAGGCTGATTTGAAGTTAATTATACTAAATTATACTAAAACATTTTAATTAAAATCTCACTTTTTTGCTACACGATATTTATTCATTTTAGAGAGAAAAATCAATCTTGCATTTTTTAAAACACAAAGGAATGAGCCCTAACACAAAGCTCAGACAGGTGATGATAGTACGCGCTCACTTGACTCTTAACAAAGAAGCTACGTAAGATGGAATCCTGTATTTTAAAAACCATTACCCATATCGCTGACTTTTGCTATCAATGGAGCAAATAAAACCTGTACTTCCAACTCAGTAGTTATCTGATAGCATTCTTCCAAGGACAAAGCATAAGTGAGTGCTGCGAAGCAGAGAGAGTGAAAGTGAGCGGCGATACTGCTCAGAAGAAGAAACCATGGCATGGCGGCCAGTGGGCTCTCACCTTCAAAGAATTGTTGCAGGGCCTGGTTTTCATCTAGCACATCCATGTTGCTGTGGTCCTTCTGGGGGCTTCCTCTACAAACAGGGGCTATCGGGTCTCAGGGAGTGAGGGCTGTCCTCGGGACTCACAGCCTATGAATACTCCTGGAAAATCTCCATCTTCTTCTTATTGACCTGAACCATTTCTTCAGCCATCAGCTTGAGCCTGTAGAGATGGCCAAGTTCTCAAATGTGATTATAAAAATGAAAGGACACACCACCACGCAGGAAAGAAAAATCATGAAGCGGGAAGTAATCACAAATCTATCTCTCTTAGTTCAGGAACTGTTTCTACTTTGCCTCTGGGCTTTGTTTTAAGGACCTTTGTCCTTAGAGACACATGTAATTACATAAATGGGCAATAAATGCATAGCCTTATCTCTTATGTGTCCTTTACACCAATGTTTCTTCTATCTCCACCTGCATCAAGCAGATCCTTTCAGCCACCAAGAAAAGAAATAGTTATTTTCTTTAACCTCAAAAGGGGGACACATCAACATAATCATTTTTATAGGTGGCCAAGAACACTGGGTTATTTCAAAGATAAAAAGTTAGAATTTGTTCAACATTTTCAAATATAAAGTGGAAAATGACATTTCTCAGCACACACCTAATCTACTTGTTCAAAAATCTATGTTTTTTTTTTTTTTTTTTTTTTTTTTTTTTTGGTTTTTTGAGACAGGGTCTCGCTATGTGGCTCTGGCTGAATTGGAACTCACTATGTAGACCAGACCAGACTGTCCTCAAACTCACAGAGATCCTCCTGCCTCTGCCTGCCGAGTGCTGAGAATAAAGGTGTGTACCACCGCCGCCCGGCTTCAAAATCTGTTCACCTTAAAGGTATAGGCTAAGATGGAAGTCCCCTATACTACATTCTCAACATAATATATCTAAAACGACTTTCACTTCACATTCTCAAGACAGAACTACGTAAAATGTGTTTTTACTGCTTAGCTATACTCTGTTTAGTAATAGCCTAAGAAAAATACAATTAGAAGTTAAACTGTCATCCTGGACCCCCACTTTTCCTTTATTCACACAGCTTTGTATTTTGAAAGCAATCATGAGCCTACCAGAAAAACTGGAAAAATAGTTCCATGAAATACCCATATACTTTTCATCCAGATTTATTAAGTATTACCCTGATTGTCTTCCTTTTCTTATTTTAATTAGGTAAACAGATTTTCTTTTATACTGAGTCATATTAAAATAAGTTCCTGACATCATGACATGTCCTCCTAAATAACCCAGTATGTGCCTCCTAAGCCATTCGCTCACATCACCAAAACATTCACTAAAAACAAAAATATCGATTTAATCCTATCATCTTATATAGTTACCCCCATTCCTGAAATATCTGTTATAAGACTTTTTGTTTTCCAATCAAGCCTTCAGTAAGTGTTCCTGAATGGCCTTTTTGTTTTGTTTCTAAAATTTATTTCTTCATTATGTATACAGTGTTCTGCCTGCATGTACACTGCCCACCAGAAGAGGGCACCAGTCTCATTATAAAGGGTTGTGACCCAATTACTGGGTCCCAATTACTGGGAATTGAACTCAGGACCTTTGGAAGAACCGCCAGTGCTCTCCATTTCTGAGCCATCTCTCCAGCCCCCTGAATGGCCTTTGTTACAGTTTGTAGAATACAGAACAGAGCTGAGGAAGTATCTCACTCAGTTGGTTGCATGTTCGCTTAGCATGCATGAGGACCTGGGTAAATAAGATATCTGGCTAAGGAAAATAAGTTAATCAATTAGTTAGCTAATTAATTAATTGACGAACTTGTCCCCCTGTCGCTTCAGTTGACTGGTCATTGATTTGGATGTTTGTCACTGACCAGTCTGCTGTCTTACAGAATGCGCCTCTTGAATTGGTCCCCTTTCACTATGAGGGCTAGGAGAGCTGATGTAGGATATTACTAGCTTGTGTCTTAGAATCTCACACATATTGGGAGCTAGAGAGATGGCCCAGTGGCTAAAGCCACGGGCTGCTCTTGCAAAAGACCCAGGTTTGACTCGCAGCACCCATGTGGCGGCTCACAACCATCTGTAAGTAGCTCCAGTTCCAGAGGGCCCCACAACCTTTCTTGTTGACACGGGCACCAGGCACAAAAGTGGTGCATAGACACGCATTTCAGTAACATACCCATACACAGAAAATTATGTTTTCAACTTTTGTTGTGGTTTGGTTTGGTTTTTGAGACAGGCTAGCTCTGTGTAGCCCTGGCTGTCCTGAAACTTGCTCTGTTGACTAGGCTAGCCTTGAGCTCAGAGATCCACCTACCGCTGCCTCCTGAGTGCTGGGATTAAAGCTGTGTAACACTATGCCTGGCTAATTTTAAGTATTTTTTAAATCTATGGATCTATCTATCTATCTATCTATCTATCTATCTATCAATCTCAAACACACCACACAGACACACACACACAGACACACACACACACACACAATTTCTTGGAAATAAGTAAACGATTTTAGGGAAGTATGGGAGTTTAAACGCTTCTGTCAAAAGTTAATATTGAGCCCCAGGTCTAAAAGGACCTGTCATTAAGTTATAATGGAAAATGTTTAATATTTCTGTTTCCGTTCAGGAACTGATATAATTACATCCCAGTTGGAAAGACAGATACGTTAGAATGTTAGCACAAGTCAGCTAAGGCGCTGTCAGCGGTCCAGATAACCGGGCATAAAGCCCGAATTAGCACAACGAATAAGCAAGAACTCACTATAGACTGGGTATAGGGTGTGAGGACTAAGATTACGCCACCTTTTTGGAAGATTTATGCCTTTACATAAAGTATGGAGTAACAAGTCTAAGGCAAGTAACTCTGGCTAACTCGACTCGCCCAGTGAAGCTCCCGACAAGCTTTCTGAGGACTGGAGGTAAGTCTCACAGTACAACCCACTCCGATGGCTACTTGAAGAGGCCGACATTCCACTCAGATGCCTGTAGGAGGGAGATTTAGTTCCTTCTAGTGAGCTAAGAAGCTACGCTTAGAAGCGGAATTACGGCTCAGTGCTTCGGGAGCCAGGCAAATACGTGAGGAAATGGGTCAGAACAAGCCAATGGAAGGTCAAAGTAAGCCTTAGCTTCACGTACAAGCTAAGGCGCCCCTTAGGCTTGGTGATGTAGAGACGCTGAGGGCCAGCGGGGCACAGCAGAGCCAGAAAAGTGAGTAAATTTGTCAGAAACATCGCCTTGAGCAAAAATTGACAGGTTAATTTCCCCCGTGATTTGAGCTTAGGGGAGGAGCATAGAGCATCGTTTACTTGACTTTTGATCCCCTGTAGCAAGCACACAGCTTCAGACAGGTCAAGGGGATAGAAACCGGAAAATTATTTCAACAGTACTGCTCAGTCTCTCAGGGCTTTGTGACGGAGCGCACGTGCACACGGCTGGGCTAGCCAGAGCCTTGGCTTCCCAGCATGCCTCCCACCTTCCACTCATGGGCCCCTTTCTTTCACGCATTCACTTTTAACCACAGGCGAGCACCTGTAAACCTGCTGGCCGGGGCCGAAGCTGAAGCATCGACAATGACCTGTGAGGCGTTTGTTCCTCCCGCAGGTCTCTCTCACACAGGTGACCACTCCCCTGAACCGCACGCGCACACACACACACACGCACGCACACACACACACACACTCACTCACACTTGATCTCGGTGAGAAAAGGAATATATGCCTTCCATGTAGTTTTCTGAGGGTCGTTTTTTCATTCTGTCTATATTAAGTTAGTACATTGCAAGTAGCCAGGAGTTACCCATTTTGGTTCTGTGCAACAGTCTGTTATGTGAACATATATCCCCCCTACAGATAGACCTGTGAATTTTTTTCTAGAACATTCTTATATACATACTCTGGGGTAGTTCTTGCAAGTATTTCTCCTAAAAGTGGAATTGTTGCTAGGCATAGTAGTCCACATTTATACTCTCAGTGCTTGGGTGACAGAGGCAGGAGAACTGCCATGAGTTCAAGACCAGCCTGCGCTACACAGTGAGTCCCAGACTAGCCTGGGCTCCAAAGTAAGACACTATGTCTCAAAACTTAAAGTGAAATTGCTTATTCACAGATATACAAATACTTAACGTTTTCAGTTTTCTTGCCTTTAAATGTATTGTCATTTATGCATTGTAAAAAACATGCAGTTCATTGTGACATTTCCGTGCATGTGTTTTATGTCCTTGGATTATCTTCCTACTCCCTTCACACAAGGAGCCTCTCTAGTCCCAAATGGACCTTTTCTCTTTCTTTCTTTTTCTTTCTTTCTTTCTTACTCTCTTTCTCTCTTTTCCTCTTTCTTATCTTGATTTCATATTGGAGAGAAAATGTGTAACATTTTTCTTTCTAAAATGATTTATATCATTTCAAATGTGCAACTTTCAAATGAATGGCTTTTCACAGTGACTGATCACATTGACTAAAAATCTTCAAAACTGGATTTTATGCATTTATTTTTGCCAATTGAATATGTTTAAATGTATCACTACGGTCTTGTTTCCCAGATTGATTCTTTAATGTTTATTGCCATTTATGTACTTCTAACTCCGAAAAAACAAACACCCTGAGCCTTTCGTCCCTTTTCTGGTTAGCTTGTCTGCTCTGTAGCTGTAAAACCTGAGGCCTTGTTCATGCCTGACATACACCCTGTCACTCAGCTCTATCCCTGTATTAGTTACTATAAAATGCCATCATAAAGTCAGCTTAAAGGAGAATTTGTTTTGGTTATGCTTGCAGAGGGATGAGAGTCCATCAAGGCAGAGCAGTGGGCATACAGCAGGCAAGATAAAAAGACCAAGGAGCTGAGAGCTCAAATCTTTTACTACAATCACAAAGCACAGAACAGACTTGGAAGTTGGGGGAGGGGTGATACAACCTCAAAGCCTGCCCCTTGTGATAAGCTCCCTCTAGCAAAACCACACTTTCTAAGCCTCCCTCAAACCTAAAATCCTCCTGCCTGAGCCTCCCGTATAGCTTTATAGGTATGACCCACCAGTCTCCACTCTGTAGACATCCACGATGCTAACAAATGTCTTCTCAAAGTTTGGCGGACCAAGGTTCTAAAGTAAGAATTTCTAACACAGCTAATTTTATTCTATAATTACTTCTTATGATTTCTTTCTGCCTCAAGCTTAAATTCTTCTAAAATATATTTCATCTGTTTTTCTACATCAAAAGTCCTAAAGTTCGAGATACCCAAGTTGTGTGTGTTGAGGAGGATTTAATTTCTTATCCCCCCCCCCCTTTTTGTTGGTCTCATGTCATGGAAACATCTATCCATTATGGCAGTGGTTCTCAGTCCGTGGGTCTCCATTCCAGACATTTGCATTACAGTTCCTAACAGTAGTGACATTACAGTTATGAAGTAGCAGGAAAATAATCTTATGGTTACACAAAGAGCCATATTAAAGGGTCACAGCATTAGGATGGCTGGGAACCACTGACCGATAGCACGGCTTCTGTGTCAATATGAAGTCTATGCACACAGGTCAGCTACAGAGCTGTGTACTTTTGCTTTCCCGGCTGGTCTGCCCATTTCTGCATTAACACATTCATGCTCAGCCTCATAAGCAGGATCCAAAAGCCCTCCTTTCTTCTTTCCCACAGGTGCCTTGACATGTTTTTACCTTTTACTCAACTGCATATATTTATAACCAATTTGTCAAATCCAGGAGGAACGGTACCTACCTATCACTTAGTAAGGACTGACACATTTTGTTTCTCTGATCATGAGCATTCTATCTCTGTCTAAGTTTCGTCACCATCTGTAAACAAAACTAGCAAATATTTGAATTTACAATTCTATATTATTTTTGTATTAATTTTAGTCAACTGCCTAATGAAGGTCTAATATTTAATGGCAGACTTCTTAATTGAATTTTCCGTATGGACAACTACATAAGGTAGAAAACGCTTTTTAGCCTATCTCCTTTCCAATAATTCCGCTATTTTTCTTCTTATCTTTCTGTGCTCCCGTAACACTTCTATTACTTTGTCAGATTTTTAAAATGAAGAAAATTATTATCCTGGCCTTGGTTTTAAATAATTTTAACTTAATCTTTATTTATGTTATGCGTGTGACTGTGTGTGTGGGTATGTACACATGAATGAAGGTACCCACAGAGCTGGAAGAAGGTGTTGATTCCCTAGAGCTAGAATTACAGGCAGGTGTGAGCTGCCGAAGGTGGCTCCTGTTTTGGAGAATTTTATATATCTGTGTGTGTTTATAGATGCTGTGTTTATAGATGCTTCTCTCCTCCCTCCAACTCTGACCCCTCAAATTCAGACTCCTTTTCTTTAATTATTGTTAAATATATATACAAATGTAAATATATAAATACTCTGAGTCCATTTTCTGTTGCTTTTATGTACATGTTTTGAGGCAGATCACTTGATATTGGAGAACCAGTTAGAGGGAGCTCAACCCTGAAGAAGAGTAATTCCCCCACTCTCAGGGTCAATGACCCCTAGGGGTGGGGCCCTGTAAAAGTTCCTCCATTGTGGGTGCTTTTCTCTCTACCCCTGCTTATTCTAAAGCTGTTTCTCTGTTTCTTTCCCAAGAATAGCGATTACAGGATTTTTCAGATGTGTTGATATTGAAAGTACTTTTGTACTTAAAGATGGCTCAGTAATTATTAACAGGTACTGATTTTCATAGGTTTTCTGCATCTACTGATCAAGTAAGCTTTTTACTATTATTCTGCAGTGAAGATCAATTTTCTAATATGCCACTTCTGTTGCACTCCTGAGATAAATTTTATTTGGTCAGTGTGTTAGGTTCTGTGTTAGGTTCATGACTACAACAAACCCATAGTTTTCATCTCTCGTACTGGCTCTATCTAGTGTTGGTATCAAGGCAATATTAGTGTGGCTGTGGAAAGCATACGAAGTTGTTATCTGGGTAAGTTTGCATATTAGAATAACCCGTTCTTTAAAGGTCGGTAAAGCTATTTGTGCCTAAAACTTTCTAAGGAAAAATTTAGCTATCTCCTTTAATGAGGCTCGTTCTTCGTTAACCATTTTTCCTGGAACTTTTCGACTTTGCTTGAACTTTCGTGTTAATTGGCCTATCTGATGAGATCCGCTACATCTGGTTAGCACCCTCAGAAGCTGTAAGGACAAACTTTCCTGTCCCCAGCAGGAAAGTGTTATGTTGTGTTATGTTTTCTTTTTCTCAATGATAAACTTGCCTTAAAATTTTGCCTACTTTGTTCATTTTTTCAGTCAAATGTTCTGCGGTCCACAGATTCTTGCTTTGGCTTTACGGATTCCTTCCTTTCACCTCACTGATCTTATGTCAGTAATTTTATTCAGTCACTTTGCTCTCTATCAGTGGCTCTCAACCTTCAGAATGCTGTGACCCTTTCATACAGTTCCTCATGTTGTGGTGTTCCTCAACCACAAAAGTTTTGTTGCTACTTCATAACACTGCTATGAATTGTGATGTAAATGCTTTCTGATGGTCTTAGGCGGCCCCTGTGAGAGGATCAGTTGACCTCAATGGGGTCATACCGACAGATTGAGAACCACTTATCCAAACCATGATTGCTATGTAATCTCTTCCGAAGCCTAATAATCTTTGTTTCCTGTTTTCTTATTTGATGCTTAGAATTTAAACATTTTCAAATACTTATGTTCAAAAAAACAAGGTTTCTTGAAGTCCATGCTGGCTTTGAACTTGCTATGTAGCCAAGGACGACTTTGAACTCTTTATTCTCCTGCTCCTACTGAGAGGAGAAAGGCTAATAGCCAAGGTCCTGTCTTTCATCCCCTCCCCCCTTTTGTTTTTGCAGCATTATGTAGCACCCTCTTCTGTCTCTAATGCTCCCTTTTAACTTAAGTTTTAAGGTCAGGTTATTATGTTCAATGATAAATGCTATCAGCATATTCTCCTAAATATCTTTTTCCTCTTAGAAAAAGTGCTAAATCAAAGCTTCTTGGCATAGCCAGAGGCCGCATGTGGCCAAACCTCTCTGGAGATAGTCCATTTGCCTGCCAGCCATTTCTTGGGTTGCAGACCAGTAACCTGTCTGGTCTTCCTCCTCCTCAGGGTCCGCTCATTTCCTCCACATCATGTTCAACCTCCCACAAGAACTGGATCTGGCTGTCATGATTGTTTGGTAGCTGTTTCCCATGTACTTTTCTTCATTTGTTCCCCTCTTTCATCCATCTCATTCTAATTTCTCAGTTCTGTAGCAGAGCTGACTTTCCAATTTAAGCCTCAATTGTACCAGGTGCCATGGATGATTTCTCTTGCTGTTTCTATTTTTCCCCTTATGTGATGGATTCCACTTTTCTTACACAGCTCTTTTCAAAGACCATCCTATCAAGATTTTCCTTGAGTAATTTCAGATGTCTGTGATAGCACTGTCCTCTAGATTTCCTGGAGAACATCCCACTCAGAGGTACTCCCCATCTTAGTGGGGGCTTCACTGTGTGCAAACTTGGTAACACTTGGGACGATTTTATGTTTGCTTGTCCCTGGGCTGGCAGCAACTTTGAAGCAGAGTAGATTTCCTGGTAACAGGTGAAGAGTCAACAAGGCAGCTTCCAGCTGCAAGGGTGCCTCACTCCCTGCCTGTCAAGCTCTCCAGCTTCTCAGGACCGTTTCCAGGGAAGCACACAGGAGGATGTGGCGGGAGAACCCAATTATGTCTCAGAAGACTAGTCATTTGGAAGGTTGGATCAATGTACACTCAGTCCCAGTTAACGGGATCCTGAAAGCCTCCTGGCACAGCTGACTGTTGGTTGAGGACTAGAGCTGAATGGGGTTAGTGTCTGCCTGCGCAGGCGTCAGGAAAGATGACTCCAGAGCCTTGTCGAGCTGTTTATCATTGTATCTGTCACCATGGCCCTGCCTGCTGCCCATGGATCGCCCCACAACCCAACATGCCGCAGTGAGACTGGGGGCAAAAGCAGAGTTACAAGGGGTTAGCACTTTTTAGCTTAGTATCTATTTGGGCCACTAATCATATAAACATATTTCACAAAAATATTTTGTATAAATATATTTTGTATAAAGTATTATTTTATTTCCCCCATTCTGTTTTCAGCCTACATTTTGTGAACGTGTATCATTCATTCAAATCCAATTTGATTCTTCACGGGACAAACAGCTGAATTTATCATCTTATAGCATCTTTATTTCCATGTTATCCTTAGTCTCTACTTGGGTCTTTTTTATTGCTGTTCTCATTGTTGATATTGCTATGTTCCCCCTAGCACAGTAAGAAATCTAAGAAAGAAATTGTGCTCCCTGCCGTGCTGATGCTAGAAAGTGTTCGTTCAGGATGATCAACCGTGCTGTTCCTTATCTTCCTGTAACCTGCCAAACTTTCTCCCACGTTATCTGGTTTGTCTGGATGTGTTTCCTGGTGCTCGGGATCAAAGCCAGGTCTCTGGGCATGGTAGGCAGGCACTCTACCCATGATGTGAGCCTCACATGAAGTCCACCCTTGCAATTCTCACATCTTCTGGGTTTGTTTTTCTTAAGCACTGTCTACAAAAAGTGTTTTGTGGGGAAAAAAAATCTTCTCAATCCTTGGATGAGCATGTTCAATCCGATTCTGTGGGTGAGCAATATGGTTCAGATTTCTAATGAGTGAGTAATCTGGCTATGAGAGCAAACACCTTAAATGCTGGGCTTGTAACACAGGAAAACCCACAATGTTCACTGAAGTTCACAAGCATAAGGTGACTCAATAGAACGTCATGATAGGTAAAGAACTGAAAACAACCCACTCTCTAGAGACAAATTATGTTTAATTGCAATTTACATACAGTGATAGGACGCGGAGATTGCAACAGAGCTGCCTCGCCACGTGAAGGTATTGCCACCAAGCGTCGTGTCCTGAGTTTGATCCCTAAAAACCCACCCAGGGGAAGAGCAAACCCCCAAAGGCTGTCATCGGACCGCCACACTGCACAGGCACGCCCCCACCCAAACACAGTAGGTGTAAAAAATTTATTTTTTTAGGATGTGAAGCTTTACTGATGGGGAAATTTTATTTCTTTTTAAAGCAAGTACAGGCTGGAGAGATGGCCAGTGCCCACCTGGCAGCTCATGACTGTCTGAAGCTCTCCTCTGGTCTGTGTGTGCACCAGGCATGAGTGTGGTACACATACATACACATAGACAATCACACGCATACAATCAATAAAGCAAGGAGGTTGTTTTGTTTCGGAATTGTGCAATATTAACTAGGAAATATCTGAAAAGTCCAAGGCTATTCTCCAAAAATATGAGCAGTAGTGGTCTTACTGGAGTCAAGGAGGCGGCTTCCTTTCCTCTCTATACTAATTACATCTCCATCATGAACCTGTTTTACTTGTACAAATGATGGTGGTAATTGCTTTGTGTCAGCTTTAGTTCCAACTTAAGGGATCAAGCAGTTGCCCGACAGCTCAGAGCTGGCAGATCCCATTCTTCTGGGCCATGACCCTGTTTATTTATGTTAATATCCCTTCTATTCCACGACAACGCTTGATGCTATCACGAAGCCTGTATGAGGGTGTTCCAGAGAGCTCCCCTGGGGTAAGTGCTCCTAAGTTCACTAACTGCAGGGATATGATTTTCATTTATTATACTTAACAAATCACTATGATAAAGGGGTCCACTGCGTTACAGTGGGCAGAATAAAAATAACTTCCAAGCCTCATAGTAAAAAACCTTTCTGCAAATAAAACCTTTTGCTTGAATGTCAGCATACACAGACATAAATGAGTCCTGTCCACTTGGCACAGGGCTACAAGGTGAAGACGACTGTGGCCTTCTGCAACTCTATGCACCAAGTCAGAGCTAAGAAAGACACACACATTCAGTCTGGAATTTATTTGGTGGTTTGATCTGCAGTGTTGGATTTACCATCACCAGCACGCCTGCAATCTTCGTAGTGTGTTCCATTGAGGGACAACAAGTACAGCTCAAAAATCACAGTACTTCTCAGTGTCGTGTACAAGAGGAGGGATGTCTTCGGCCCTCGCCTTGGAAATAAATATTGAGAACCATAAAAATGTCCCGTCATCCTTCAGCTGTCCAGATGAGAGCACGCAGGTCCCCACATCAGAGTTCCTCTTTGAAATAGCCCAGCTTTGCCAACGACATCTCCTTTCTCAACTGCATAACTTCCCAAAACATCTGGTCAACTGCACAGACAGAGAAGAGACATGTAAATCATAATGTGTCATCTTAATTACAGTGAAAATGTAAACTAGTGGAAATGCAAAACTGGGCATTCCCTGAGGGTATAGCTAATGGCAAACCCTGAGCCCTTCTCACAGACTTCCCCGTGTTCCTGCACGGATAATGCTCATTCTTGGTTGTTTCTTTCTCCCACAACACGGAAGATCTGGCAATGTTCTTGATATGGGTCAAATCAGAAATAAAAACAAATACTGAGGTTCAACTTCCCATACTTCTTTGAAGTTTCCAATCAAAGCGGAACAGAGCTGCTCTGTGCTTCCGGCAGGGAGGTCTGCGGTCAGCACACTGATGCTCACACTGGTCTCACGAGGGACCAAAGCACATTTGGGAACGTCTGAATACCTTTTCCCTGTTGCCTGCTGAGGCCTACAGCATCTAAATGAGGCCAGGAACCAGGAACGCTGCAGAGTATGCCATAACGCACCCACCAGAAACCCTCACACACAAGAACTGTCCGAGCTCAGATTGTCCGACATGAGCTTAGTCTCTGACACACTTGGGAGAAGAGTTCAGATCTTAATTAAAAATGTTTTCTACAAGCGCAATGAGATAACCCTGGGGAAAGCCTTTAAAGCCAAAGGTTAAAAGGCTTCATGTGGAGTCCAGTGAAGTGCACACCTTTAATCCCAGCACTTGGGAGGCAGAGGCAGGTAGATCTCTGTGTGTTCGAGGCCTGCCTGGTCTACATGGCAAATTCCAGGACAGCTAGGGCTACGTGGTGAGACTGTCTCAAAACAAAACTAAACAGAAGGGTTTCACGTGGCCCTTCCGTAGAGCCGGAAAGTACTATTTGTATTGTACTTGCACTCTGACCATGAGGCATGGCACTGCTACTTGCACTCGAGGCATTACGTCAGTACTAGGAGTCTCCTCTCCTGAAGCGCTGGGCTCTGGAGGCTAAGGTGCCCAAGCTGCAGAACAAAGGCTGCGAAACCGCCCCGGATTTAACTAACCTCAATCCTTTCTTTAATACAAGGCTCGGATAATGAGCGGGTTTTAAAATTTTAGCTTTGTGCCAGGGCCCCACATGGTAGACATTTGCTGCATACTAGATACATGAAGTGCGAAAGGGACAGAAACCAGTGGGAATATCACATGTGTCACTCTCAGTCAAGACACTTCCTATTTTCATGCAGTGGACTGTTTTCAGACTTCCTACCAATCTTTTACTGTAACAAGGAAAAAATCTGCATCATATTATCCATCAACCGGTGTTCAAATGATGTTAACAAAATTATAAAAGTCATTACACACAGACTACTTTCGTTTTATAGCCTTTAAGCTCAGCATTAGAGATAGGTTCCACCCTTCTCTGTACATTAAAATTAATTATATGCAATTCTAAATAAATACGTTCAATATTCCAGAGCCATTCACAGGCTGAACCGAGTCTCTGCCAGTCTGACTCTTCCATAAACTTTTCCACAGTGTATGTGGCTCCTACTAGTGAATTAGCTCCTACTAGTCTTGTAGCACAGAAATATTTTCAACATCTGTAAAAATTCACATGGGAAAATTTCCTACAACGTCAAATACAGAAACTGGTGGGCCCCTCCCTGAGCTAGTCTCTGCTGTTTCAGCAAACAATCATGTGTCCTCGGTGAGTGCTGCTCTGGAGCTGCTGGGAGGCATCAGGCCCCTGCCTGGTATTTAACACACCGAGTTGTAAAACCATCAGCAATCCTGGAAGGCTACACTGAAACATGAACACAACAGTGACAGTTAGCACACTTCTCCCGTTTCAGCATGTGGTGATCTTTTCTCTACTCAGAAAAGCTGTCCACAAAAGTAGAGACCACAGGAAACTCATGGGTGGCCCCTTCACACTTTCCATCAACTGAAGTAAACCTGACCACAGACCCAAATACTGGCAACTGAGCCCAGAACCTTGTGAGTGCTAAGTGCTAATGATGCAATCTACCCTTGAGCTACACCTATCCCAACATGTTTTTTCTCAAACTTTTTTTTTTTAGACAGGATGCCATTAATTTGCTTAGGCTGGCCCTCAACTCATTCTACAGCTCTCACTGGCCTTGACTGACTCTGTTACCCTCTTGTCTCAATCTCCCAAGTAGCTGTCATTTCAGTCTTTCAAAGGATAAATGCAGTAAGCTTCAGCTACTCTTCAAATTTACATTTCATTTCTCATATATACCTTGCAAAGTAAAACTGCTTTTGCTCAAAACTCAAGAGTCAAACGGGAAATAAAAACATTATTTTTGAGAGAGCTTCTTTTCTTCTGACTTATCCACACGTTTGTTAGAGCTACACGGGAAATGGAATGGCACTGCAGGAATAGCAGTTTGTTTCTGCACATCACTTGCTCCCATTGGCTGAACCTGAATGTAAATGATTACAATAAGTTAAGAGCACTCACCATCCTGCTGTTTCACAAGTCCCTGCTGAATATACCGAATGTATGTAAAAAAGTTACACACTGAAGTGATCTAGGCCAGAAAGAGAGAAATGCCATAACTAGTCAGCTTACAGCAAAGCAAACACCACTATACAGCACGTCATGTGACGTCACTTACCCGGTATCTGCAAAATGGCGAGATATAGTAACAGCTGCTTGAGTCCCCTAGTTTAATTCTGTGCTTGCAGGACTTACTCTGCCCAGTGAGCGCACACTTTCTGTAAAATAACAAATTTCCGTTCTGTTTTATGATTAAAAGCATTTGCCCCTGCTTTCTTTACCAGTTGTCTCTTCATTAAAATAGGAAATACTTGAGAACCTAACGTGTCAGGCCCGTTCTGGACACTGGGCTACTGTGGTGAAAAGCACAAAGCCCCCCCCCACACCGTGTGGACGTATGCTGCAGTGTAAGCTGACGACTAACACTGAGCATGTTCTAGAAGCAGATGCTCACGCTTTCCACACACGCCCTAGTGGAGAGCAACCAGCTGCAGGACAGCACTCCACTTACAAACTTCAGCTTCAGCTGAGAAGAAGCTAATCAAGATGATTCAAGCCTTAAAACTCATTGCTAACGCTTTGCAGGGTAATAGCTGCCCCATGGAGTACGTTTGATTGGTAGATTTAGCTGCACTTAATGGGGGATGTAAGACGAATAAAGACATAAGCTGCCTTTAAGCAAACCCGTAACGCGTGTATGGAGAGGCCACCCATGCCACCCTGTCCACTGCGGTGGGTATTCTGCCTGGACTAGGCGACACATTTCTGGAGGGTAGACAGTTAAACAATTGATGAGCCACCTGTCACCATGCTGCTCCGGGAGATGAGGACAGTTTGTTTACTGGGCGGGGTTTGGAGCAGCCCAGCTGTCAACCGAGTAAGCTGAGAAGTTGGACAGACACAACCACCAGTCTTTGTTATTGCAAAACTAGCATAGCTCTCAGCAAAACAAGGTGGCCAATAGCATTTGACATGGCGTTACAGGTAACACAACAAAGACAGACAATATAAATGAACCACATTAGATTTCAGTTGTACCTACAAGAAACACAACACAAGTATTCCTCCACATTAAGATACCAAGCGTGGAATGTGTTATCTGTAACAAGATAATTGTAGAGGCGGTCTGCAAATCTCTTTGAAAAAGAGACTTATCTTTTAATTCTTTTCAAAGAGACTTTGCTTTACTGTTTACAGGCAGACAGACACACACACACAAGCACATATGCAAATATGCAAAGCACTTTAATGATCTGTGGCACTATTTAAAGGTACTAGCTTGGGAGGATTCAGAAGTCAGTAAATTTAAGGTTCAACTATTAGAAATCCTTGTAACTTGCAAAAGTATAATTTATTTGGAAGAAAAAAGCTGACCGAGGGGGAAAAAAACCAAGTTAGAGCTATTCTTCTGGAAAATATATTTGTTCTTTTACCATCTTGTCTCATTGTGAAAGGATTCTGCTAATGTGATCTCGGGCATTAGTTTTTTGATTAATAAAATAAAAAGTCACCTTCAAAGAAAGAATCAAGCTTTCACTTGCCGAGTAACCCCTCTGGTTTGTGGAATGGCTTTCTCTCTGTGTGCATGCTGTATGTCTGTTTCCTCACGCCCAATAAAAAAGCTCTTCTTCAACTGCTTTAAAAAGATTTTTTAAGTGATCACGTCTAAGCGCTAATATGGCCCCAGCTGATACACTGGCTTGACTCTGGGCTCACTGCTAGCCTTGCCTCTCCCTGATGCTGTTGTAGAGCTTGCCATTACTACGGTGCCTCTTCCCAGCTCTGGTCTCAAGATTCCTGATGCTGGCCTGCCTTGTCACTTGGGTACAACAGCAGATGAATCCAGGCCTAGAGCTTCTTCCACAAGCCAGGACCTTTGCTACTGATTTCCAAGAAGCTTCCAGCCATTCTTCAAGGGTGCAGTCACCTCTAAGGTCTGCCTTCTTCAAGCTCCACCCCATCTAATTCTGGTCTTTCATCTGTCATACCTGTCTTTCCTATCTTCCTATCCTCTGAACATACTGTTTTCCTGCTCCAATTTATCTAGTTCCACCCAAGCCCTAGATTAAATCTCTCCACCTCCAGAGTCCCTAATCACAACTAGAATGATCTTGTCTTTCTCAAAATTCTTATAGTACTTGTCATTTCTTTGATCACCAGTTTTGGAACTTAGTCCCCAAGAGCCTTGCTAGGACTTTCCTTATAGTTTGTTTAAAAATGCAGCATCTGAGCCTGCAAGATGGCTGACTTGGTAAAGGCCCTTGTGAAGTGTGACAGCCTGATTCAATCCCTGGAACCCACAAGCAGGAGAGAAACCAAGTCCCACAAGTTATACTCTGATTTCCACATGCATGCTGTGACATTCTGCTAAAAGAAAATAAAATGTAAAAGAAAAAAAAAGAAGAGTAAACTCCTCTTTTACATAGAATATACACGCACTACGAAGGCCTTCCCTCCTGACCTCACAAGCATAAAAGCACTGTGTAGACCGCTCTCTAAATCTAACCTATAGAATTTGCTGACTAAAATCCCAGAGGTCCATATTGCTATCTGTCATCATTTAGAGTATATTTTCAAATGTGTAGTATGTGTGACATAAGGCAAACATGGACAAATTCTACAGTAAAAACTGCCTCATGCCATATTTAACATTAGGTATGACTCAGACTTCGGAGTATAGACACTGCTATCGTTACATGCGACTTCCCACTTGACAGGGCTGCAGTAGTTTAACACAGAGGACGATCTGGGTGGATGTGCAGCTCACAAAACACACACACACACACGACCCGCTGCTATCCTACTCCAGCAGTAGTGTAAACGCCAACACTCTATAATCACCCGGCGAGCGTGTGCGCGTCAACAGAAACTCAACGTCCCAACTGAACAGACCCCTGGTGCAGGGCATCACAACAGCCCTGACTGGAGTTATCAGCTGTATTCTAGGAACTCTCTTGGGCTTTCCAATCTCCATACTAACCTGGTCCTCAAATGCCTCCCCTACTATTTTTAAACCAGAAGCTAATGAACAATTACATGCTGGTTTGGGGCAGAGTATGTTTCTGCGGCTTCAGGCTTTTCCTCAAAGTGTTGGACAGGAAATTCCTGCCCTGCCATGAAACAGAGTTGTCCTCCCTTTGGCATTATGATTTCCAAACACCTGTCACATGTGGAAGACAGAACTATGTGCCAATTTCTGAATCTTTTATAGAAATAATATGGAAGATGAGGACTAATTATTTTTTTTAATTTTCTTTTTTAAATTATGCCTATGTAGCCCGATCTCTGTGGGGTATGTTCTGGTAATTACCAGAGTCCGTGAAGGTCAGAGGTATCAGCGCTGAGTTACAGGTGGTTATGAGTTGCCTGATGGGGGGGCCAAGAGTTGAACTCGGGTTCTCTGGAGGGCATCACATGCTGCTAAGCACCAAGCTGTCTCTCCAGCTCCTGCTGTCCTGTTTCCACACTTAGACCAGTTCTACGTCAGCACCTTCCCACTCGTTTTGATGGCAATTCTTACACCGCAGTGCCTTACACAGATAACTCATTCGTATTCATTCTCATTCTCTCTCTCTGGCAAAACAGAAATTTGGCTACAATTCACTAGACTGAGTTTATAATGGGTCAACATTGTTTCCCATCCTTGGTCTACCTGCATCCCTAGCATGTAATTTTGTATCTTAGGAACTCTCTCTTGAGCAGCCCACACCCACCTCTTGACTTAGGTCTGCACCAATGACCTTTCCTTGGCCGTTTCTTTCTCCACAGCCACACTGAAATCTAAGAACATACTATCTTTCTCTTGATGAGCCACACACCTTTCTTCACTTAACAGACCACAGCTTCGTCTGGGGAAAAGAAGCTTAACTTTGAAATGCAAAGCTAGAGACTAACAGCATCTGGGGATTTGTCTTTGGTCCATCAATGCTAAGGAAAAAAAAAATGAGGTGAAATGTAATTACATTTAAAATACATAGATGACTGAACACAATACCACAACACAAAGACTTTTAAATGCTCATTCTTTCACAAGGCATGGGTGTAAAACCTACTTTGGCCCTCCACATTCTACAGCAGAAGCTTTCACAAATCGAATGGGCTGCAGTCCCACTGGTTCAATGCTTAGAGTGTTGTTCTCCACAGCCTCCAGAACAGCTGAAGCCAACTTAAAACAAAACAACAAGAATTAAATCCTGGCAGAAAAATATCAAAGTAAAATAGTTAATTTTATAAGCTAGTCTTCCTTCAGTTTCACTAAGTTGGCCTTAGCCACTACAAAGGGAAGAAGAAAAAAAAAAACCAACACAATCTCGATTTAATTTCTTTTATAATTCAAGCAGCTATGACAGGCAACTTAGTTACAGTAGAAGAATTTTTTTTTTTTTAATTAACTGGCAAAGTATAAAGGAATTAATTCCAGGCTCTGTCCACTCTTTACACAAGATTACACATACACTATAAAAGCCACTTCAAAATTAATATCCTAATGCTTCATCCTGCCAAACGTATGCAATAAATACTGGTCATTTATGACTGCAACATCTACTAATTTAAGCTATGCTATTTCCTCAACTTGCAACTACAGGCACAAAAATCTACCAAAAAAATAAATAAATAAATAAATAAGCTTTCCCCCCCCCCCCCCCTGAATCAAATATGAAGTCTCCTCTGATAGGCAGCCAGTTAGAAGGTTGGAGTTCAGCCTGGTGGGTTACCAGCACTAGTGAATGGTTGGCGGCACACGGCCCACACTCGGGTCAGTGCCATGCTCTTCACCCACAGTTCTCCTTACACGTACACTACAGCCCCGTCCTCGAGACTCATGGAAGAGGCAGGGGTCTGGATTCCTTAAACATTAGCCTGCAGGCTATTTGCAGACAAACTTCTCACATAGAAGATCAAAGTTAAATGACAACTTTACAGTTGTATACAATTTATACAATACCTGATCCTTTTCAGTGGTTTTAATCTGCCTACTTCACTCTGCCTGCTAACAAGTCTGACATAGGCCATGGCGTTGTCTTTCCTGTTTCATGGTCAGGTTTTGTGTTCCGTTTAGGTCTGTATTTAGTCAGTAGTAGGGCCTTGCATAGGTGAGCTGAGCAGTTCATTCTCAGCTACAACTCAGATCCTCACTTGTACTTATCATGCAGTGATGAACCCAGCAAACACCTTTAACACTGTACATAGAACTCTGCTCACACTGGAAAATGAACATGGGTCTGAGAACCAAGCACCAAGCCCCCCTCCCACACATATCTACAATTCCACACTAACACAATGAAGACGTTCAGAATGGCAGTAATAATGGTCCTAATGAGAAATGGGGAAAATGTTAAACATGACATTTTACAGTAGCTTATTACATGTACGACATTAAAATATGAAACAGCAGCAGAGAGTACCAAAGATGCTAATGCATTCCTATTAAAATGAAAAAAATTACCTCGCTTTTTGCGAATGTTAAACATGGAAAGATATCTTCTTTATAGATTTTGTCTAAGAAAGGACATGTTCTGTCCATCGTGGGCTCATCCTTCCAAGATCTGAATTCATTATACAGAGATAAATCGGCCTAACAAACCAAAGCAAACATTAATTAACTTTAAAAAGGACTAAGCCACCTGAAAAAAACCAAACCTAATTTAAACATCATTAAAAGAAAATGTTATTCATTTAAAATAATAAAAATTCCATTGTCCTGTACATGATAGCAATTTTTCTTTTGAATTTTCTTTACAAATTGACTGAGCCTTTTGGGTATATCCCCATGATGTTCAAAGATGCCATCATCCTCACCTCGTGAGTGTCCAAATACTGCAGAAACTCTTCTTCTCATCTGAGACAGAGCTCACTCTAACCCCAAGCTCGCCAGGAGTTCACTGTGAGGAGAGTGGCCCTCACCAGGCCCCTGCCTCTGCCTGACTGCTATGCCCAGCAATACTGGGACTCTCTGAAGACAAAGACTGTCCTGAATATAGAAAGTGCTGCCAACCAGTCTTTTTTGAAAATTATCAGTCTGGAGGCACAGTAGTTAAATAAAGAATACACTGAGTCTAAACGTGAAACCTAGGATAAAAAAATGAGAGCGGCTGTTCTTTCCCAGAGACAGCCAGTCCTAAAGGGATGGCTAAGATGTCCACTAGTATAAGCTACAGGACAGAAAGCAGCAGCAGGCACACAGCTACTACACTGGCTGCCTTAACCAGCCCCTGAATCCACAATCATGGCCCACCACTGGTACTTACTTCCTCCTCTTTTCCTTCTTTTACCAGTCTGACTGCAGCCTTCCTCTCTACAGGCCCTCAGATCCCCTCAGCTACCCAGCCCACTCGAGGCCCCCTGTGACACAAAGCCCCCAGCACGGAGCTGAACACCCTAGGCACACACGCTGTGGGCTGTGGCTGCCCTAGGATAACTTAAGCAGACCTGCAGCTTTGAAGAAACAGAGGCTGAGTGCGCCCTGCCCTCCCACAGACTGCAAAGGCGAATAACGGTTGAGCCAAAGCTAAAGGCAAGAGGATAATATATATTAAGAGATAAATATCATTTAAAATTTTTCAAATTTGCTTGTGAAGTTAATCAAGAAAACAGAAAGAAACCACAAAGCAGGAAAGTGAATAATAATCGAAGGAAATATTCTAGCTTAAAGGCAGTGATTTAAACCATTCTTAAAACCTCTTTCAGGAACCATTGTTTTTCTGAGTTGTGCCAGACGGATATGATGGTCCCAGTTTACAGATAAAGCTAGAACTGGGAGAAAATAGCTTCCCAAAGTCAGAGAGCTGGTTTGTTTTGTCAGCTTGATACAGCCAGCCATCTGAGAGGAGGAATCATCAACTGAGAACTTGCCTCCACAAGATAAAGCTGTAGGCAAGCAAGCCTGTAGGGCATTTCTTAGTTAGTGACTGATGGTGGAGAGCCCAGCCCATTGTCGGTGAGGCCATCCTAGGCTGGTGGTCCTGGGTTCTATGAGCAAGCCAGTAAGCAGCAGCCCTCTATGGCCTCTGCACCAGCTTCTGCCTCCAGGATCCTGCCCTACTTGAGTTCTGTCCTGGTTTCCTTTGAAAAACGAACAGTGGTATGGAAATGCAAACAAAACAAATCCTTTCTTCCCCAACTTGCTTTTGCTCACGGTGTTTTATCTCAGCAATGACAACCCTAACTGAGACACACAGCTAAGTCCAAATTCAAGCCTAAGATTTTAGATCCCAAAGCCCTGCACTGTATACATGTATGTACATGTCTGTAACTGTCTGTAACTGGAGCCCACCATGTTTTCTAGAGAAACAGACACAGTCCATTTCATTTCAGAGCGTTGTATGTTGTCCTAGAGCATATTTCAGTCAAAGTTTCTTGATTCTTTGTGTAATAAAACTTCCTGATGTTCCCAAAGCATCAGGATACAAAGTAGCTAGAGAGCAAAAGTGGGAACAAGTTGACTATCCATATGCATTTCAAAAATGAGTGGAGCTTTTTAAATGATGAGAATAAAAAGTTTTACTGTAAGCAACAGAAGAAAATGCATTACACTTAATAAGTAAAAAGTTACAATAAAAAGCTAAAACTTTTGTAAAAGTACAAAGAAATCAATTAAAGTGGCTAGAGAAGTATATTAGATGTTTAACGGAAACAAACATGAATTTCAGATTTTGCTACATTCAGATTTAGAGAAGTAGTAAACTTTTTTGTAAACAAATTTTTCTTAGTAGCTGAACAAATGTAATTCAGTTACAACAGTTACCCTTGGCTATTCAATGTAGTAATCCCTGGCTTCTATACACAAATTAACTTTATAAACACAAACAGCTTCTTCAGTGTAAATTAGCTTAATCGCAACAATGAATACAGCTTTTAAAGAAACAATGAGTGATGCTCCAGGAATTCTCATCAGTCCCCTTAGAAACCGTTTTCATTACATATGATAAGACCAACAATGCTTAATAATGTATAATTTTTACTACACATTTCAAAATATACAGTATCTAAGTTTTTTTTATGTTTTCTAAAATGTAAAGCTTCTATTATTTCTGGGTTGTTTCTTGAATCAACTACCAGATTTTAAATGAAAAGGCTCCCATGGTGGGACTCCTTGCCAGACCACAGCAGAGGCGGACACACTCAGTCCTCAGGCAACTTTACGAGCTAGTATGGATGGATAAGGGAGCTCCCCTTTTCTAAGGAATAGGCGAGGGATGAGGGAGGGAGGGTGGGGCTGAGAGAGGAGGAGAGATGGGGCTACAACCAGAATGTAAAGTGAATAAAAAATATTTTTTTAAAGGGGCTGAGAGTAATCTTTAAGAAAACCATCGTATTTCCACATTTCTTCTATTCATCTTTTAAGCCTGCACTAACAGAACACCCTGACTAGTAAGGACACTAAGGCCAACACTTTCCTTTATACAACACATGCCAGTTTGTCCCCTAAATGAAAATCTGAAATGTAGAAACTCACCAGGTCTCCAGCAGGTACACGAGGCCAGCCAGTGGAGAACAGGAGTGAAGGGTCCCTGAAAACAGCCAGCTCTAGAGAAAGCCTCCCCCATCTACATACTGCTTATTTTGTAATAAGCTTTGATTTTATAAAGTTTGCTGGCAAAAACAAAACAAAAAAACAAGAAAACAAACCCTCAACTGACCATCAGTGACGACAATTAGCAAGAGGCAGCAGAGCCAGAGGGAACAGTCCTTGGGAGTTACCTCTTTGCAGTCTTTTACAATTGGCTGTATCACACTGAGGTCCTGATGACTACCACTCATGGCGCTGCTGGTGCTCTTATTCCTCGTGTGCCCCCTTTTAAAAGGTGTCTTTGCAGCCCCCAGAGGCTCCTGTGTAGGTGACGTTGGAGAACTGGACAACACGAGTGTCTTCAATGCGGCCACTTCAGCTTGAAGCACATCGATCTTGAAAAGAAATCAGCATTGCACACACAACACGCGTCACCGCCCGGAATGTTAGAGATTTGATCAAAGCACTTTCACGGACAGAAAGTAAGTTTAATTCATATTTTCTCTGGAGTAAAGAAAGGAAAGTAACCCAAGTTTTTTGGGTTTCCATACAGCTTGGATTAAACTGCCAGTAATATCGAAAGAAAAATTTTAAATGGTCAAAAATACCTAAAATCAATATGAATTTTCAAAACATTAAAATATCATCAGCTTACGATTAGCTATATTCACTCCTAAAATCATAAAATCTATTTATATGTCCTTTTTCTTCAGTGAATGAGGAAAACCAGTACTAACTTTTATACGTGGCTACAGCACCCTATTCTGTGCTGAACTTGGCTGTAAAGAAGTTGGCTGCGATAGAACGCGCACCAGTGTTCAGGGTTGACAGTACTTAGGTGCACGTATTTGCTCACTCATGGTTTTTGCAGCTTCCAAATGTAAAATAAGCACTGCTTCTCCAAATCAGAGCAGCCGAAGGCTGTCAGGGCGCCTTGGGAACAGTGACAGCTGAGGTCTTCCTGTCCCATAGGTCAAAGCAGCCTTTGGCTACAGTCTTCCTGTCCCATAATTAAAGCAGGAGACTTACTTTCCCCTGCGCCTCCTTCAGCTGCTTTTCCGCGGTGGCCTGCTTGACATTTGCCTCTCTCACCATCTTGTGGGCTTCCTGAAAAAGTCAATGTCTCAAATTTTGGAGGCAAAAAATTTCAACACTTATTTTACGCACATTTCAGCAGCTACCTATGACTGAAGCAAAGACATATTGCGGAGTTTTATCCTGAAACTAAGGATTCAACGTTCACTATGGGAAAAGAAGTTGACATTAAACAGAGAGGAGGTTAGAAATGAGGATCAGGCACTCTCCACTTAGTGCAACTATTCACCGCTGCAGCCACCAAGGTGAGCCCACTCTATCCAACAAACACCCGTGTTACGACTGTGAACATTAGTGGGAATGGAGAGAAGCTGCAGGCCAAAGCCAAGTCCTTTGTAATGAGGTGTTTGTAATTCAATCGTGACACATTGTTAGTCACAAATGTCTGTGTGTGTGTGTGAAAGGGACATGTAAAAACAGTCAACACTTCAAGAGGGATGTCAACTGACGGGCTTCAGTTTCTAATAAAGCAGGCATGAAGTGATGTAGGTGAAAGCTGTGCTGTAGAGCGTGACCTGAGGAGAGAAAGCAGAGGCTAGTTCTTAGTAGACTTAAGCTTCTGAGGCAACAGATAGGAAACTGCAGGTACGAATTTGGCTCTCAGTCATGCAACACTTCCTCATGATGTCTCTTTATGAGGCAGTGTTCCAGGTTCTGACAGTAATGAGGAAAAGAGACACAGGCCCTGCTCCTGAAGAGTTCATGCTTGGGGTACATTCTAACAACAAAACCAGGGTAGTCATCCCAGACTTTAGCTGAAAGGTGAAGTCTTTTTTTTTTTAAGAAAGAGAAAAGCATGATCTCATATTTTCAAGACTATGCTTCTGTGTGAAATGATCTATATAGAAGATGAGGATGGCTGGGAACATGCGATGTAATAATCAGTATCTGACAACTTTAACACATGCAAAGGAGAGTCAAAGATACTGGAGACAGTCCGACACTACACCAGGTCTGTGAGTGCAGGGTGGAAATCTCCCCCTCAGAGTGGGCCGTGGCACTCACAGCTGTGCCATCTGCTTCTGTGGCATGGAACTGGGCAGCCGCTTGAATGTCTTGTGAACATGAACCGCAGACTACAGTAAATAATCCAATGTTCACTATCAAGGATTTCTAATGAAATGGGAAGAACCAAAGTAGTCCAGGCTGCTTATCTGGCCGAGTCCTTAAGGACTGTCAGATGAAATGAGTTGAGCACTTTCCTTTTGAAAGCAACAGTAGTTGCTGAATTTTTTGGGATAAGGAGGGGCTGTCAACAGAAGACTATTTGACAGATTAATTCCAAAATAATAACCCTATCTGCTCGACCTCAAGGTGAGTGACATTTAACGCTAAGGGCAGAAGAAAGAATGCTGAACAGAATACCTGCCCAAATGGGTGGGGTTCTTAAGAGCGGAAACTGGAAGAGCTGACACTTCTCTAAGACAGTTTAGAAAGAATCGCAGAGCTAAGGAAATAGTGAACAACTAAACCAAGGCCAGGAGAGAACCCAAAGTGACGTGGGATACAAGGTGAGCCTTCCAGCTGCAAGGGGAAGCCTGTGAAAGACACACGGGTGTAGTGACGTTCCCAAAGAGGCGAGCACTAGCCTGAGGCAGAAACCACCTGAAAAGATAAAGCACATGCCAATCAACACTATGTCAAAACATAGTTGCTCAACGTCTGTTGTTTTCTCTTCTCTTCTGAAGGAGAGAGGATATAAGCGCTGTACACCAGGGCTTCCCATGCTTTCTGCACTGGAGCCTCTGTTTGATCAAGAACGTTTCACGGTGCTGAACACCACTTGTAGAGCAAATGGAGGAAGTATGTTTAGGACCATTTCAGAAACCCTTAAAACTTCTGTCCCAATTGCAAATTACCTCCATCGATTATGTTTAAACCGTAACTCTCATTACATTTCTTCTTGGACCATTTGATACATGTCTGCAATGCATTCTGGCTGTTCCCCTCAGGCTGTCCTCTCTCCCTCCCACCTGTCCACCTTCCCTTTTACACTCTGATTTTTGACACCTCTCGTTACCTAAAGGACTCTGTTTTCAACTGTCCACTGGGGCCTGGTGGGCTCAGCTGGATACAAGTGGTACACAAGTAAAGACGATGACTGAACTTTCCTCAGACCAATCAGAGGCCAAGCGTTCATCAGGGTGGGGTAGGCCCCTGGGGCCCCTCCCAGTCCATGCTTGACTGCTGACAGCCTAAGGCCTGCCCAGCTGCAGGTCCAAGTGCAGAAGGCTAGGTAGGTGCTGTAAATATAGCATTTTTGCAGCTGTTCTCCGAGTCTCCTGGCTCTTACACATTTTCCCACCTCCTCTTTTTAATGACTTATTTTTCCCTTTTAAATGAAACTGAAGGCAATGAGCACTTCAAACAGCGTTTTTCTTGTAAACTCTTTTTCACATTGTTAATTTACTTTGTGTGTGCCATGGCATGCATGTGGAGATCAGAGGACAGCCTGCAGGTTAGCTCTTTACGGGCTCCACAGGTCAGGCGTGGCCACGAGGCTCCTTACTGCCTCAGCCACCTTGCTGGCCCTACAAACAGCAATTTTTAAAGCTCAAACTTTCTAATACAAAACAATCCAAACGCACACTAGCTGGATGCCTAAGGCCTGAGGAATCATGAAAGAACGCATTTAAAATTTTTGTCTTCTGTAATTAAACCTGTATGTTTCTACAGGAACAGAAAACTAAATAAAGTAAAATGCTGCAATTCCTAACTGCCTGAAGCCCTGAACGTGAGCCTCGGCACTTCAGGCAACGTCCACTCTGGTGGAATGCGCAAGGCAGAGTGAGCACACTGCATGTCTGAACCACGACTGTGGTGAGGCCATAGCACCGCCACACAGTGCAGACTCATTACAGGCTTTGTTCCAAATTCATTCTAGTCCATGGAGCAGTGATATGTACTAGCTATCACCAAACCTCTGCAGAGGGCCAAATGGTGTTCTCGGGAACACACAGAGTTACAATGATTCAACTTTGTTCTTGCAGTGTGGAAGCAACCAGAGGTATTACATGTATGAACTGCCTGTCTCAATAAAAATGTAACAATGAAAGTTGGCCTTTCTATTAAAACACAGAAACAAAAATAGACCCACCTCACCTTGCCCTTATTTTTTTGGTGGTGGGACCGGTTAAAATCTACTTTTCAGGGCTGGGGAACACAGAGGTTAAGAGTACTGTCTGCTCTTCCAAAGGACAGGGTTCAATTCCCAGCACCTACATGGCAACTCAAAACTGTCTATAACCCCAGTTCTATGGCAGTCAACACCCTTACACAGACATAACACCAATGCACATGAAAAGAAAAATAAATTTTAAAGAAAGTAAAAAATATTTTTTTTAATCTACTTTTCTGCAAAGTTCCAAAACATGACACAGTGCTTGCTGCACACTTACCTCCTACGAACTGACATCTGCTACCATCTAGCCAGCATCTCTGTCTCTCCCATTCCTCAACCCGACAACCACCCATTTACTCTGTCCTGGCAAACTCAGCGCCTTTAGAATCTCCAGGGAGACCAGGGAGAAAGGGAGATCAGGTATCATTCTTCTGTCCTTTTCTCACATACTCATCTATATTGCCTCAAATGGTAAGATTTTCTTTCATTAAAAAAAAAAAAAAAACTGTAAGTGTGTGTGTCTCTCAGAGGACAACCTTCAGGAGTGGCACTGTTCTCCCACCACAGGATTTGGGATAGACGTCTGGTCATTCACTTGCACAGCAAGCACCTTTACCACTGAGCCATGTCAACTCTTTCTAAGAAGCTTAACATTACACAACACACACTATGCTTCACTTTATCCATTCACTGTTGAATATATGCTTACATCTGTTATATTGTGACAATATAACAATGATCAGGGGCTACAGATACCAAGAATTAATTTTATTTCCTTTGATGTATGCCCAAAAGGGGGATTGCTGGCTTCTAGTTTTAATTTTGTTGCTGTTCTTTGTTTTTTAAAGGCAAGGTCTTGCTATGTAGCCCTGGCTGTCCTGTAACTTTGCTATGTAAACCAAGCTGATCTTGAATTCCGAGATCTGTCTTTGACTGCCAAGTGCTGGGATTGAAGGCATGTGCCACTACACCCAGCTCTATTTTTAACTTTTTAAGGGAGCAACTGCCATACTTTTGTCCGTAAGAGCCATATCAACAGTGCCACATCCTGCCAACATGTGCTATACTTTATAGGCATGTAGTGGGCTTTGATGTGCACGACCTGACTGGTGACACTGAGTATCTTCATATACCTCCTGCTGTTTGTACATCTCTTTAGAGAACAGCCCATTTGTTGCTTATTTTGATATTCCTTATATATAATATGTATATATAATGTATATATAATATTATATATAATATATATATAAGGAATATATATATATATAATACATATTGCCTTGTCAGATACACTTTGCAAATTTTCTTCTATTGACTGCACTGCATGTTAATTTTGGTGACTGGTGTTTACAGGGTTTTAGCTTGATGCAGTTCTACTCGTCTATTTTTGTTCTCTTTTCTTAGCTTTTGGTTTCATATTTATAAAAAAGTACCTGCCCAGACAAAGTCAAGCTTTTCCCCATCTAGTGGTCATGTAGTGTCAGGTCTTCTGATTCAACTGGAGGGAATCTGTTGATGGTGTAAGGTCTCACTTGCATTCATAGGCGTGAAGACGTAGATACTACTTTCCCAGTGTCATTCACTGAAGGAATGTCCTCTCCCCCATTCATTACCCCCTCATTACGAGCCAGTAGGTCACAGATGTGCAGCCCTCTTTCTGGGCTCTACTCAGTTCCGCTGGCCTCCGTGGCTTTCCTGTTTTCTATTAGGCTGCAGTTTGAATGTCGTCACTTTGTCATGTATTCTGAGGTCAGGAAATGTGAAGTACACAGCTTGTTGCTCTTGCTCAAGAGGACTTTGGTTGTTCCCCTCTTTTGTTGATCCATGTGAATTAAGTTGTTGTTGTTTTTTTTTTTTTTTTTTTTCTATTTCTGCAAATAATATACTTGGGATTTTGATAGTGACCATACTGAATCTACAGGTCACTGGTTATATAGAAATCCGAACACTAAATTAATTCTTCCAATTCGTGGAATGATTACTTGTGTATCCTCTTTAATTCCTTCATATCAACCTATCATAACTTCCAGTGTACCAGTCACTGTTTATTTCTAAGTAAGTGATTCTTGTGGATGCTTTTGTGAAACTGTTTCTTTCATTCCCTTTTCAGATCATTTATTGTATATAGAAACACTAATCTCAAACTTTACAACATTCGTTTATTAGTTCTGTTTTTACTGCTGAGTCTTTTGGATTCTCTATAGAAATGATAATCATCTGCAAACCTAATTTTACTTCCTTTTCTTGTGTAACTGTCCCTTCTACGATTCCTAGTACATGAAGGAGAGCTGGTGAGGCACAAACATCCTTGACTTGTACCCGAGCACAGACCAAATGCTTTCTGTTATCCCGGGTGACTGGGATGCTATGTTTAATATTTGGTCCTTACTGTGTTGAATAACATTCCTTTACTGCCTCTTTTGTTGAAGATTTTATCATAAATTACTTCGGCTTTTGTTAAGATGCTTTTCTCCATCTACCTAGCCGATTACATAGCTTCTACTTCCTATTAATGTAGTGTGTCTCACCAATTGGTTTGCTGATGTTGGACCACCCTTGCATTCCAAGGATAGACCCTATTTGGCCATGGTATATGGTTCTCTAGTCATGTGCTGCTGAACTCAGTTTGCTAGCGTTTTATTGGAGATTTTTGCATCTTTGTGTATCAAGCCTATTGACTCAGGTTTTCTTCTCATGGTGTCTTTCCTGGCTTTGACAGCGATACTGACTTTTCAAAATGCTTTTAGAAGCGTGTTCCCTTCTATTTACATCTTTGGCTTTGTGTTAGTGTCTGGGGATGTCTAGTATCCTGTTTCACTGTTTGGTGACGCTGCCCTGTGGAGCTGTCCAGCACTGGACCCCTCTCAGTTGGCTTGGCTATCTGTGTTTGTCATTGGTCTTTTCAGACTTCCCATGCTGTCTTGAATCCATTTTGATAAATGGTGTATTTCCAGAAATTTCTCCATTTCTTCTGGAGTATTTGACTGGAGCAGGATTTTTTCATAAAAAAACAAAAACAAAAAAAACCTCCTTTAAAAAAAACCTCCAGTATGTCTCTTCTTTCATCTCTCTTTTTAAAACTTTCTCTTTTTTCCTCAGTAAAGTGTTGGTTATTTCTTCTTTTTTCAAAAAAAAGAACTCTTAGTTTTATTGATATTTTCTTTTTTTTTTTTTTAAGATTTATTTATTATCTATACAACATTCTGCTTGCACACCAGATCTTACTATAGATAGTTGTGAGCCACCTTGTGGTTGGTGGGAATTGAACACAGGACCTTTGGAAGAACAGTGACTGTTCTTAACCTCTGAGCCATCTCTCCAGCTTTTTCTCTCTCTCTCTTTTTTTTGCCCTTGTTTCTATTCCTATGACACTCCAATATTTCCTTCTTCTTGCTAACTTGGAGCTTAGGTTTATTCTTTTTCACATGCTTTGAGGTCTGGCATCAAGTTGAGTGTCGTCTTGTATTTTTCTGTAGGCATTTACTGCTATGTAATTTTCTTAGTGCTGCTTTTGTTGCATCTCCTACACTTTAGCTATGTTATGGTCTCAATTTGTCCAAGTTTTTCAAATTCCCTTTTAATTCCTTCTTTAACCCCACAGTTCAACGTGTTTTAGTTTCCACATACTTGTGCATTTGACTGTTTTACTGTTGATTTTTAATTAGTGGCTGCAAAAGCTTCTCGGCATCTTTTGTCTTTTTAAGTTTGTAATGAACTCTGTGCTGTAACATGAATTATCCTAGATAACATTTCATGTACACATGAGAAGAATGTGGACTCTTATGTGGAAAGTTCTACGCATGTCAGCTAGGTACATCTGGTCTAGTGTCACTCCACCCAGCTATCTTCACTTTGTCTGAACAATGTCCCCATGTACCCAACAAGGTATTAACATCTCCTTCTATTACTATACTGTGGTTTCTCCCTTCAGATCTGATACTGCTTTGCACATCCAGGAGCTGTTGTTGGGTATATATTTAATTCTATCATCCAATCAAACTGATCCTTCTGTCATTATGTAATGACCTTATCTCTTAATGACAGTTCGGATTTAAAGTCTGTTCTGTGCAATTCAAAAACAGCCACCCCTGTTCCCCTAACCGCAGAAGTATTTCTCCACCCATTCACCTTCAGGCTGTACCTGCCATCTAGCTTCTGCCTGGGGAATTTGGTCTGTTTGCATCTAAAGTGATCACTGTACGGTAAAGGCTTACTCTCCCGGTGTGTGAATCTGTGTTCTCTCTGACCTATAGTTTCCATGCTCCTCTCTTCTCCTGTGGTTTGGTGGTGTGCATGTGCGTGTGTGCACACACTGGCATTCCTTGGCTCTTTTCTCTCTTGTGTATCTAATGGACTTTTCAAATTATGGTTATCAGAATTCAAACTAATCACTCCTGCATTGTAACACTATTTTTAGCTGATTAACTTCAACTACATGCAGATACATTACGGTCTGCTCCCCACTCCACCACATTTCATAACTGTGTCTGATTTCACTTCTTGCTTTATTGTGTCCATTAACAAACTTCAGTGCTCACAGCTACTTTAAATACTTATTGTGTAAGTTAATCTCTAGCTTACATATTAGTGTTATCCATTTCATATAACTTACATGTGTGATGGTAAAGTTTTAACTTTTCTCCACATAAGATCTATTAGATTACAGGAGATATAAGACTACTCACTCGTGATCTTCGCTCTTAAACACATGTAAATATTGACAAACCTGAAAAATAGAATTACTTTTCTTTCCCAGTTACTATTTGGGGGACGGATCTATTTCATGTTTCATTTTGTAATATGAATGGATTACAGGATGCCCAAATTAAGTATTATCAAACATTATCCTAAGTATTTCTATGATGGTGTTTTGAGTGAGATTAAAATTGATACACTTCCTAATGCAGACTGTACTATATAAGTCAACGGGCTTCACACTGCCAGAGGAAGGCCTTAGCAGAACAAAAAGCCTACCTTCCTACCATGTAAAAAATTCCATTCTTCCTTCAGACTCTCAAACATGGCTCTTCTGGTTCTCAGGCCTTCGAGCTCGGACTAGCTTTCTAATGCACCTTACATCCCTGGGACGTGGCCACCTCCACAGCCACGTGAGCCAATTATTTACAATAGTGAGTGTCTATCTCTCTGCTGTCTTACACGCCCCACTTCATCTGTCTGTCTGTGCCAATGGCCCTGCTATCAACAGTCCAAGAGCTGGGCAGAAATTTTGGTCCTGAGGGCAAGCTGGAGGTGAAAAGGTGTGCCACATGATGTTCCTCAAATCTCCCCACAGCAATAACTGCACCTCAAAGGTTTCAATCATAGAAGGAAATTTAAAAAACTCAAAGTAGCACCTAGATAACTGGTAAGTTACTAACATTTTCTTTTACACATACATTTTTAACTGCCTGGCACTGATAAGCTATGATGCTCCTATTTCCTCTTTATACTTGTAATTGTAGAGCTACATTTCCTTAACGATTATGTTCTCTTTCTTGCTTGGAGGTATTATGAACACACACGAAACTGGGCATATCCTTCTCAAGGTTCCTTCACAAACCAATTCTATCAACACATAAAAGTGGGATGTTGCTCTTGGCCACGATGTAAACAGACCAACCTCAAATAAACTAGCTGTGAGTTCTTCCAACTCCTGCCCAAGTTGATCTCGCACTTTCGAAAGTCTCTCACATTCTTCATCTTTTAACTTCAATTCCTATGAGAAATTGATAATTTTGTTTTAGATCTCTTCTGTCTGAAATGAGACTGTATAAACTACATAATAATTATTAACAAAATTATAAAATATTAATACCATCTCCTACATGTTCATATTGAAAATGCCTAGTACTCATTATATGGAAGACAATCAAACTCTAAAATTCAAGTAATCCCAGTATTTACATTATATTCCTTCCATAAAACATTCAGAGACTAAATGTGAACATAACACATTAAAAAAACCACTATTTCCCCTTTAGCTTTTTCTAAACACACTTATTTCTACCAAGCAAGTACTTCTTTCAATTTCGTATACTAATGCCAATAAAATTAATTACTTGTTAATGTTCATTTACAGGGGATAGATGGCTCAGTCAGTAAAATCCCTGCCACAAAAGCACAAGAACCCAAGTCTGGAGGCAGAACAGGTAAAAAAGCCAGGCACAGCAGTGCACACCTGTAATCCCAGCACTGAGGAGACAGAGACAGGCAGGTCCTGGAGCTCACAGCCTACAAAACAGATGAGCCCCAAGCTCAGTGACACCCATTCCAACAAATAAGGTATAGAGCAATAAGAAGACACCACTATTGACCTCTGACCTCCACACTTTTGCACATGCACACACATCCACAAAATTATTTATTAAAGCATCAGAATATCTGATTTTATATGCTGAAGTCACCCTAGGTTACCCTTTCAAGCACAGATTTAAAAAGCCGAAGCTCCTTCCAAGTCACACAGTTTCGCTGATAATGTGGCAACCAGTCCTTGACTGTGGAGGCGGCTCAGGTTTAACCTCCCAAGGACAACTCCTGAAAACGAAATATCCTAAGATATCAGAACCTAATGATAAATCCTCAACAACTTGGTAAGCGAGAACCCTTACAAGTCTCAGGACATAAGAGAATGTCCCCAATTGCAGCAAGTGAAGCAAAAGACTCCAAACACAATCCCTCACAAATACCTCAAAACAGCAGGACTCTAACATCGGAGAAAACGGAAAGAACATATGTGAGAAAATGGAAAAAAGCAGAAAGGTTTACCAAGCCTTACTTGCAGGTGAATGCAACCATAAGGTCCATCCTGTAAGCAGCAAGCTGCCAGGAAACTCCTGAGTTTGCACAGACGGCAGAATTACTGAGGAGTGAGCCAGGAGCGCCAGCACAGTCTCACACTGGGGAAAACCATCAAAACAATGCAGACAGGTTGAGACAAGGACCTGATGCAAAAACTCCAGTCTTACAATGGAATGCTGAGGCGTGAAGACCCCAGAAACAGTAGGCGAAAAAAAAAAAACAACAACAAAAAAAAAAAACACCTGGCTGAACAATGCATAACTCTGAAAGATGACAGTGAAGACAACACCACACAACAATCATAAGGGCGGCCAGAATGGCTATCCGACTCCCTCACAGGGACCTAATACGCCATTAGAAACTCAAGTTACATGTGCACAAAAAACAAAACGTTCACATAAAGTTGCAGTTAAACAAAAACAAGACATTCTGGTATGCTTCTGTACAGCAGAATGACTACAATAATGTACCCGACATCTCAAAAAGCTGCAATAAGGGATTTAAAGAACATTGTCAATAGGAAATTTGAAGAGCTAGATACAATTAACATGATTTAAACATGATACAACCTTGAAACATATATAGCAACACATTAATGTATATGATTTTTATTTTTTCTGTCTGTTAAAAACGTTAAAAAATTAAAAATTAGAGAGATAGCTCAGAGGTTAGGAGTACTGACTGTTCTTCCAGGGGTCCTGAGTTCAATTCCCAGCAACCACATGGTGGCTGCCAACCATCTAAAATGAGATCTGATGCCCTCTTCTGGTGTGCAGGCATATATGTAGACAGAACATTGTATACATAATAAATCAATTTTTAAAAAATGTTTAAAAAATTAAAAATTATAGACAAAACAAAGTTTCTAATAAGGGAGAAAAAAATGGATCAGTTTGCCTATAGCCTGAAACTTCAACAGTAATATTTTATGCTAGAAAAGATTGTGGTACTATTAAAAAGAAAGAAGGAAAAAAAAAAAAAGAAAAGAAAACTCTAGACTATAAACTGAGTGTTTTGTACCCAGCCAAACTATCTTTCATGTAAGAGGCCATTAACATATTTGTAAGACTTCAGGAACTGTCTGCTCTAAAACCTGCTTGAGTGATAGAGTGGAGAGTAAGTGTCAATAACCCAAACATAATAAAAGCTGCTGAAGCTTCACCAGGAGGGAAGAGAATCATAACTAACTGCAGAACTGTGACTAAAAAAGATGAAGCTAGCTAACTAAGAATAACTGAGGAGGTGACTCAATGGGAGAAGGTTTGTCTAACAGGATGAGGGCCTGGGTTCAACCCATAGGGGCGGGGAGACTCACCACTCACATGCACAAAAAACACACACAGTAGAGACAGAGAACTCAGCTGAGCCATAGACAGAAAGTATTATCAAAATATAAAAAGAATTATTAACATTAACAGAAGAAAAACCTTAAAAATGGACAGACTATCAGACAAAGAAGATACACAGGTGACAAGCCTAGGAAAGACGCTCAATGTTCTCTTTCATTAGTAACTGCAAATTAAAGCAAAATACCGTCAGAACAGCCAAAGTGCAACCACAGAAAACATTGAGTGCTAGCGAGGACACCAGTACAGGAAACGCTCATCCTGTGCTGCTGCGTACAAAGCAGCGCAGCCACTTTGGGAAAGGATTTGACAGTCACTTACAAAACCAGGGAGAGTCTTAACAAATTATCCAGCAATCACACTGCTTAGGTACACACCCAAATGAGCTAAAGACTTACGCCTACCCAAAAAGATGCACACAGATGTTTTTAGGACTTCATTTGTAATTTCCCAAATTCAGAAGCAGCCAACGTATTTTTTATTAGGCATCTACTGTGTGTTAATCAACACAATGGATAAGTGGTGCAGCCATGAAGAGATATGCAAGAGATTTAAATGCACACTAAGCCAATCTGAAAAAAAGCAAATCTACAGAGACTATGAAAGGACATGGGATCCTTCAGAGTGCCGAGAATGGCACTACCCAAGGAACACTGTAAATGCTCCTGAGAGACACTGAAGACCAACTCTCAACTGGCTCCCAAACACGTGTGTCTGGCCCACACAGAGGCAGAACTCTAGACTAGCTGCCACTACAAACCAAAGCAGCATAACCTCCACCCAGGACCAAAAGCCCTCAGGAGCTTGTGCCAGTAGCCGTTTCAGAGTTCACCCTTGCTTCACACTCTAAACAGAGTCAAACCTGTCCAGTCTCTCCTTCGCTCCCCAGTCTGGTCCAATCCATCTCAACTCTTTTTCTACAAACAACTGATGCTTTTGTTCGTTTGTATGCTTTAAGTTCCAACTCGGCCAACCAAAAATGACCTAGATGCGTACTCCATGTGAAAATTTTTTAATGTTTGTACTTTTCCTTTATTAGCATCCTGTATTATAACATAGTTATTCAAACTTTACTCCTTTAACAAATGCTAACATTAATGAATCAGGTGATCAGCTTACAGCCAGAGTTAGAATTAGGGAGAAAACTCATGGTTTCCATGAAGTCAGTCTAATGAGGGTTACAAGGGTTTTAAGCAGACTTACAAGGAAAATCTGTTAAGTTTTGACGGGTATATTCCAGGAATTAGGAGTCCACCAAACTGAAGGCATGAATCAGTAAGTGTCAAAATAGATGACAATGTGGACAATAGATGCTACAGGAAAGGCAGATTTATGACCTGTCTCAAGCAGCCCTGAAGAGCAAAATAAGAAAGAGGACTATCTTAAAACAACGGGGAATTACCAGAAAGAGAAGAGGCATCACTGAAAGAGTCTAATCAAGGAAGTAACCATCAGATCTGCCGTTCAAAATGCAATACTTGGATAGGCTGGCTAACTTAAAAAAATAAAATAAAATAAAACTAGAGAAACAGACCAGTCATTATTGTATCTTTCAGGTTAGTAATTTGGATTTAGAGTGAGAACATGGAGAAGGAAGCTGAGAGATTCATGCACAGAGACCATCAGGACTCTACAAGCATATTTCAATAGCATTTAAGACCTCATCATCTTTGTATTCCCAGAAGGTGTCTTGCTATGCCCCGAGGCTGGCCCCAGACTCTTAAGGAACAGCAATCCCTCTGCAACTCAGTTCCCCCAAAGTAGCTGGGGCTGTAACTGCATGACAGGTGATCAGCGAAGACCTTATCTCCCCTACCCCAGTGCTAGAAACTGAACCTCTGGCACACTGTGCAATCACTTTGCCACTCAGCTTTGCTATGTACGTAGCTAGACTTCATAATTTCACATATGATAAACATTTCATATACATAGAAAGAAAACAATGTTGTTAATGGATCAATGATACAATGTTTCTTTTCTTCTGAGGGTTGTCATTCTGGAGAATTCCTTTAGGCTGACAGAGAACAGACTTTTATCCTATTACTCTGTGTTTCCATTTCAATACATCATTTGTGAGATACTTTTAAAGGTATTTAACCTAGTGATTACGATCAACTCAATTAAGTTAGTCTGAGCAGCTTTGACCAAACTCATGCATAAGTAGGCAATCCCAACTGTCCTGAATACTATCTAACTGGCCCATTGTTGATTTCAGAGATGTCAGTCAGTCCACAGTCACGAGGCACATTTACATCTCCTCTGTACAGCTACTAGATGTTTTTCTTAATTTAGTTTAGTTTATTCTTTTTGAAACAGGGCCTCACTCTAACTTAGGCTGGCCTGGAATTCAATACGTGGACCAGACTGACTTCAAATTCACAGCAATCTTTCTGTCTCAGTGTTCTGAGTGCTGAGATTACAGAAATACACCATCAAACCCTGCCAAAATAAACTCATCGAATACAGGATTATGTCTAGCTTATTCCTGCACACTACACAGTCAAAAAGTATTTGTTAATAAAAGAACCTAGTAAATGGTTACCTTTCTTTGGCTACAACTATCATAGTAGGGTCAGACTAGCTAAACAGGGCATGTATTCTTGAGTGATTCCCTCTGGCTGCAAGCTTTACTGTCAAGTTCATTGCATTCTTTTTTCAGTAAGAATAAAACCTGAAGGCAACCCTTCACACCAGAAGGGATCATTCTTAGCGAGTGTAGCAAGTAAGAGGGAAGTTTGTGAGAAACGCCTGTTTCTAAGCTTCCACACAATAACCCTGTTTCAGCAGCTCTGGGATGAGATATTTTAATAAGGACACACGAAGCCCTTATTCTACCCGAGCTGATCTTCAGCAACAACCTGGGGAAGGAAGGCCCGATAACTACAGAATCATATGACAATGCCTGGTGTCCTAAACTCTCAGTCTCACCAGTGGTTCCCCTTTTCAAACACTGTGGATCTGTGGCTAGAGAGTGGCTGCTCAGCCCTACAAGATTACAAAGCCCAATACAGAAGAATACAGATCCCTAGCCACCTCACAGGAAAGCTGTCTACTATGAGTCTCTACGTCGGAGCATTGCATACAAAGAAGATAAAACTCTGAGGTTAAATTCCTAATATGCTGTATTGCTTCTAAGTAACTAGCAATAACCTATCTGGTATATTCAGCATATGTGCCTATTCACACAGCAGTACGCCTGCATGCCCATTTACATAATCCACTTACTCAACAAAATACAACAAGGATACATCGCACACTTCAAATACAATCATGAACAAAATGTCTACTCTTCCTTGTGAAGCTCAAACAATTCAAGTGTGCGTATGTGTAGAAGTGTAGGGAAGGGAGTTACCTGGATAAAGTGGGCAGATAAACAATATAAAGGAATAAAACTTCCAGTACTAATTAGATAGGGGACAAGGGTCCAATTTACCATCCATACAAATGAAAAACTAGAAAAATGTACAAGAAACAATTCTCAAGCCACTGGGCACTTGCCAACCAAAGACTGTGATCCTGCTGAAGGGTAAATAACTCCCATGAGCCCTGGGTTATATGAGCACATGAAGTACTGGAGAGTTCAAAACACACGGTCCAGAAGCTAGACCTAAGAGTGACCATGTTAGACAACAAGAGCAAACTTTGGACATGAAACCTACAAAGTCCAAAGTAGGTTAGAAGTGCGGAAGGAAAGAACACTGGAAACTACAAGAAACTATCCACAATGAAACACAATGGAGAGAAAGGATTAAAGAGAAAAAGATAGAACCCCACGATCTAACATACATATAAAAGAAGTTCAAAAAAGGAGACATGAGAAAAGAATGTAAAGATTTTTGAAACTAAAGGCAAAATGTTCAAAATTTTGTAGAAACAAAAAACCTGCAGCTTGAAGAGCACATCACACTCTAAATGCACACATGCACGAATGCACACAGACACCACACAGCCCTGAAGAAAACTACACTAAAGGGGAAATCACAATAAAACTGCTTACGGAAGACTCTCACAGCAACAGGAAAGCAAAGACTCACATACAGAGCAACTATGTGTGCTACAAGACAACGAAGCAAAACCTTTTAACACTACGAGAAAGAATACATGTATCCGCCTTCAAGACTGTACCCAATGAAATGAAAAAAAAAAAAAAAACTAAAGTAAAAAAGGGACCTTTTCATGTATAAAAAAGGAAACAGAAAATAATCAAGTGTTCAATGCAAAATAAAAGTGTGTAGTAAGATTTAAAACATACGAAGAAGTACAGAGCTGCACAGAGCCGGAAGTGAAAAAGAAAATACACTTCCAAGATACACGATATGCACACTATATATGCACGCCTCTGGAAAGCAGTGACAAGATAAAGCAAAGTGCTATAAGCCAGAAGCCACTACTACGTTAATGCAAAAGCCAGCCGCTGAGCCAAACACTGAAATTACCAAAATGAATTAATATAAAAGGAGAAATAGGAGATCAAACAGGACAACAGAATACAAACAGTAAGACAATAGATTTAGCCAAATTTTATCAATATTGCATTAAGTATGAACTGCCTAAGCACACCAATTAGAGGGCACACATTAATAGCAAGGATAAAAACCAAGGTTTACTTTAAATAGAAAAGTACAAATAAAATAAAATGGATGCAATCAAGGGAGCTAGGAATCATAAGGAAAAAAACAGCCAGTGACATAATTTTGATTCAAAAGTTACCAGAATTCAGAAATTATTTTCATATCCAAGTCCTCAAGACTTGAGTCCTAAGTTAACATTAAAACTATTTCATACTCATCCTAATAAAATTCAATATGTACACACTCACACATCAAAATCATTTCAGTTACCTCAATACAGCTCTAAATAATAATAATAATAAAAAAGATTTCAAGAGATTCCCAATGGAGCTAGGAGATAAGCGTGCATGCACACAAAAATATGACATAAATAAATATATTAAAAATTCATGCCTGGGCAATGTCATGGCATAAAAGAAACTTTTAAAATACAAATTGGTATTTAACCACAGCTGTTAAATGTATGTTCACAGAACTGTTCTTATTATTCCTAAGTTGTACTTTAGCTGTCTGTGGGATCAGGAGTAATACCTGTTTTATTCTTAATATTAAAAAAATATATATCTAATTTTTTTTGTCAATCTTGCAAGGGGTTTGCCAATTTTATTAATGTTTTGAAGAATCCATATTTTGTTGTATTCATTTTCTATTTCTCTTGTTAATCTCACTAAATTCTGCTCTTAATCTTTACCATTCCCATCCTTCTATTCACTGTGTTTTAACTTTACTTTTGTTTTTAGGCTGATAAAGTAAGATTGTTCATTTATGACTTTTCCTGAACTAGCAAGATGGCTAAAGAGTTGAGAATGTTTGCTGCACAATCATGAGGACCAGATGACCCAGCACCCATGAAACAAGGCTACATTCTGGCATAGCATATAACCACAGCTCCAAGGGGATGAAGGGAGTCAGATCACTGGTGCATGCTATCTTCTAGCCAAAACAAGAAAACAGGTTCAAGAAAAGACCCTGCCTCAAGGGAACAGACAGAGAGTGACAAGGAAACAGCCCATGCTGTCCTCTAGCCTCTGCACACACACAGAGAAATACCATCCCCTTGTACACACACACACACACACACACACACACACACACACACACACACACACA